AAGACGTGTGTCGTCGTGGACTACACTCCTGATGGGAACATCACAGGCAGGTGCCCGAAGACGAGCGCAAGTGGCCGGCAATGTGTGGCGAGACCCTTGGCAGGCTCTCGAGAGATCTGCTGGGCATCGACCGCACCGTGTCCCTGTGGCGCAAACACACAGCGCTGCCCCGGAGCAGACCTTTGCCTCCCTGCGTCACGAAGCTGCCTGAAAAGCTACGGATCAAACAGGGCTTAGCTGCGTCTTGATTGATTCCTTTTGCGGGTGCGGTCATGTTCATCCGCCTCTAACTTCCTGATTTGGCACCAAAGTGGCACGGAAGGCTGTAGGATGAGGCGTTCAGGCGGTGTACATGTGATGCATGCGCTCCATCCAGAGCCACTCCAGTTTCGGTGGCGACATGTTGTGACAGTGTCCGTCAGGTTGCAGAAGGCTGACGTGTGCCCCTGCGAGCATTGGCAGCTCCATGGCAAGACGTGCCGCATGCCGCAGTGATGCATTGTTTCCTCCAGCTTTCTCTTAGGCAGAAAGCCTGCGAGATCACGGAGTACAGCACGGCAGGCCAGGTAAGGTCTCCTCATTTGCATCTTCCGGGCGTCAGCCTGACACTCCTTCCGTGCTTCCACGCAGGCGTGCCAGAGATGACTTGGAAGCTTTGCGTGGACAGGGAAGCGCCTTGCCCGTGCGGCCAGAATTCGCCGACGGCCCAGACGACCCGCTTTCGGAATGCCTTCTTGTCCCCACAATAGCAACTTAGGCTGCGCTGCCCAGACCCACTGGACCTGGGCTTAGTGCTGGCTTGAAGGTTTTCAGCTTGCATTTGACACTCTTTCAGCAGCTGTCTTGTGGTCACTGTTTCCAAGGATGCGAATGGCACTCTGTGCGTGGCAAAGGTCATCAGTCGCTTGGCTGACTTGCTGGTGCTGTCGTTGAACTCGCTGGGCTCCATCAACACACCCAGCCCATTCCAAGAATCCATGCAGCTTGAATCTGAGCCGAGCCGCTTGAACAGAATCGCGTTGCAGCTGTGACTCGACTAGGCAACGACATTACTGAAGTGTTGTGTAAACATGAACACTGAACTTATAGCACCAGTGAAATGCACAAGCTCCGACCTGCCTCGAACTCGTTCACCTACGAGTCGTTCGGAAGCGCTCAGGTGGCGTTGCAAACTCATGTCCTGCGCCATGCTCCCAAGAAGAGTTGGCTCGAGGCAGCCAGACCTGCGTGCAGCTTCCTGGCTGCAGCAACATCAGATGCGCTTCAAACAGGCTGATTCCCCCAGAACAGAATATCCGGTCCGAGACGATCTCTAGTTTTTGGATTAAGGCTTCTGTTCAGCTCTTCTGAGTCGCTATGTGTGCTGAGGATTGACCTCCCCTCTGAGACGCTGCAAATCCAAAGAACGAGCACCTCGTCTGAAAATATTTGACTGACTTGGCGCTTTAAACATTGCTTCGCATGCGATAGTGATGGATCAAGCATTCAATTCCAGTGCCCATTTCTTGAAGGCTTCTGCTGAGCGCCACGTCCGCCACACTCCTGGATCTGAGACTCCGGTGCTTTCAAAGCTGGTCAGGTTGCGTGCCGTTCGGCCGTTGCTACGCCGGCTTTGGCATAAAGAGCTGCCAGGGGCCTGGTGCATTGCGCACATGAAGCTGCCAGGAATCAGACTACAGTTACAGTATCCTTCCTTTGCAGGTCCCTCTGGTGCCGCTATACCTGTCTGGCAGCCCTGTGAGCTGGGCCGTGCCTCCAGAGGCAACACCAGCATTCAGGTGCTGGAGGTTGCAACGGCGAGCCTTGCCACGCAGGAAGGGCAGGGGAGACTTCTTCGTGAAATTGGCTGGGGAGTGGGAGGGAAGAAGCTCGGGCCATGACAGCAACTCAGGATCATACCGATGGACCGGCCAGGCCCTTAGTGTGTAGTGTGTGAGCAAGTATCTGTTCTACGATTCTACGAGGCAGTGGAGTGGGGCTGAGGTTGCAGCCGGGCGCGATGGAGTCTTTAGCCGCGGTGGGACTTGAACTCCGATTCCTCCTGGAAATCCCACAAGAGCGCCTTCGGCGGCGTTTAGATCACAAAATCTTGCGGTGTGCTCTTTGGTCTTGTTCACTCCCTGAATGTTGTTCTAGAATGCATGAGACCACAGCCCATGGCCAGACGTGGGTCATACTAGGATGTGGGATGTGCGCACAAGCTTCATCCAAATCCTGCTGGTTATGGGTCTGCAGGTTATCTGGCCTTTGAAAGGGGGAGGGTGTTCCCGTCTGAGGATGACAACGGACATCAGTTTGTCACTGTCACGCAAGATCCTTTCGCTACCTGGCCGTGTGATGAATCTCGCAGCGTTCGCGTTCGCAGTCCGCCTAAGTACTAAGGTTTGCAGTCACAGGCCCGGCTCGGTCAGGACTGGCGGGGCCAAGCAGAGAGGGCTCACAGCTTCTGCTTCTGCCCGAGCATGGCCAGGACCGCTCGGCAGCGCTGAGAGGCGTTTACTGGGCAATGCGGGCAGCCTGCTTGCAGCAGAATCTGCTCTTCTCCGCTCGATGACATGGCACTTGTGTTTCGCATGGATGTCGCAGCACACTCTGCCATGCGCCCGTCTAGGCAGTTGGGAGGATCCCAGTGACCTTATCTTGCGCTTGAGGGACAAGGTCCAGGGAAGTGGACGGCTGTCTGCGAGTCATTCTCCGGACAAGCCGACCTGGTGTGACAGGCATATCGAAGAAGCCCGTCGTTGCGGCGAGTCCTGGACCCCGTCGGTGAACCTCACGCATGCTCCTCAGGAAATCCCCAGTCTCTGAGCAGAGAGCTGTAAGCTGCAGCTTGCATCTCTTGAGGCCGTTGCCAGCATTAGCATTGACACCCAACACATCACGCTGATTGTCATCATTGAGAAGGTGACGGGGCCCAGGGTGGCGCACTCATGACGATGGCTCTTACTACGGGTTACAAAAGCTCCAAAAGTTGCCAGGAAGCTGACGGAGTTTGGGACGTCCAGCAGAAGCCAAGAATCAGCATAATGCGCCCTGTTTCCTGGCAGGAAGTGGACGACGAGGAGGCCAATCTGCCAATCTGTTGCCTTTCTGCGGTCCTTGCACCGAGGATTCTGATTTCTTTTCAAGGTGTTTGTTTGGCATAGTAATAGATGGTTGGGGCGAAGTGTCGTTGAGTCTGTCAGCGCGAGATGCACTGCAAAAACGCATGCAGACATTTCGGCCTTCCAGTCTGCCAGCGAAAGCAAGGGTAGCGAGAATAGCCTTATGTCTCGCCTGATGTCTTGAGCTGGGCGACTTTCGTTTCACGACTTCGTAAACTGTGCAAGTCCGCTGCGAGGCAGATGTCGTTGTCGTTGTGGTCATAACCTCGCTGCCACTCAGCTGCAGGGCAGGAAGGCATTGGCCGGGCTATTCCAAAGGTGCTGGGAATCATCGCGAATGGTTGCAAATGGTTGTCAAGGCATGCGCTTCATGTTCCAGCAAACTCCAGGTCCACTTGCATCCTGGCTTTCTGTTGCTTCTCGGTTTGGCGCTTGCACAAGCGGCGCAAGCAGCGCATCGTGCTGCTCTCAGCTTGATCTCCACGGTATCATCTTCATTGAGGTCTCAGAGTTCGTTTCTTCAGGTACCTGAATTCGAGGACGCAAACGCCCAGGAACTGCCAGCCACGTTTGGGTCCAGGAATCTGGATTATGTTTGTGCAGTAAAGCGTTCGATCGGCCTGGTGTCTTTCTGCATGCATGAGCTGCGGTTTTCCGTTTCGCTACCCCGATCTAGCAAACCCGCTCAACGAACCGCAGGCCAGCCCAACAAGAGCGGACTCGTGCCAGGCGAGCAACATTCCAGACGGCTCCAGCTCTCGGCTGGCTATGATTTCCGCTAGATTCGATGGCGGGCCGGTGGAGAAGCTGATGCGAAGAATGCAGAGGATTCTGGATGCCCGCAACTACCATGTGCTTATCGTTGAGGCTGGAGTTGGTGATGATTTTGGTGATGCCACTTTGGAGTATTTGTATCAGATAAAACGGGAGAACGGCGTCATCCTGGCCGTGTGTACATGGAACTATGCCGAAATGACGGCATCACAGTACTCGTCACACAAGGAGCTGCAGTTCGCACTGGAGAACAGCATTGAAGTCATCCCATTGAGGGTGGAAGACACCTACCCTCCAAAGCCACCCTTTGGTGACCATCATCCTCACGATCAACATGGATTGGGCCAGGCCCTAGTTCAGATGAAGATCCCTCCTACGCTTGTCTTTTTAGAATGCAGAGGGCGGACTGCGCTACAGATCGCCAGTGATATCGCTGGGAGATTGAGCAGCGAGAAGGCGGGGCTCAGGGCGAGGCACATGCGAAGCCCTTCACATGTTCGCTCCAGGAGTTCGTGCCAGAGGGGCTCATGGTGTGGTTGCCTGTTTCTAAGTAAGCTCTGTGTCACAGGCCCTGGCCAAGATGCCGTCCTCGCGATCGTTGGCATCGAACCAGCTCCGATCACCACAGGCCGGAGCTTTAAAGCCTTCAGCCAGAAGCTTTCACCCGCTCGCAATCGCAGCCGCTTTTTGCGTGCACCGGAGCATCACTGCGATGTGCTTCATTGATTGTCGAAAATTGTATTGTTCTCTTGAAGGCTCAGAGGACACATAGGTTTCAGGTTTGGGGGTGAGGAGGCCAGTCACTCGTCATTTTTTGAATCTTTCTGCAAAAAGCCAATCAAAGCAAAAACGTGGGATGGTCCGGTGAGCTTGCCTGGGCCACGTGTTGCATTGGTGACATTCTCGTATGGACTTCAAGTGCAGGCTGGACCGTCCCGTCGTTCTCTTCTTTTGCGCATGGCCGCAACCGATTGCAGCAAAGCCTTGAGCTTGGCCAGCACACAGGTGCTCAACTCAACATCTTTGACTGCGACGACATCCCGCAATCTATGTCACTAATGCTTGGATAACACTGTGTGCAGGTGCATAACGCATGCCGTTTCAGCAGAAAACAAGAACATTGAGTGATCTTGAGCTGCGCGCTCTGCTCGCGGTGCCATGGCTAGCTTTGGCTGGCCTGCTGTGGAATTTGCTTGGTCTTCAACAGCTCTGTTCGCGTGACCAAGCCCGCATCACGTGTATGGAGGCGGAGGCGGCTTGAGCTTTTGATCTTGCCGTCGTGTTGACGGCTGCACAGTGCTATGGCGATTTCAAGAGATAGCATACGCCGAAGCAAGGATAGCGAGACCAATAGTTGCGCACTTTAGGCGTACTAGCAGCTACGCGCAATCAGACGTAAATTATGCTTCGTGCGTTCACTGGTGACCTGATGACCTGATCCCGCACGGCCCGCTGTGCATGCTGCTGCACTACCTTGCGATCGTCGTAGTTGAGGTGGCTGCACATCTGCGTGCGCGTGCCAGCAAGGGAGATCAAGGGAGTTCACTGCCCGGCGGAACCACGCAACTTGGTGAGGGTCTTGATGCGTTCCTGAATTCCTGTCGCCGAGGATGTGTCTTGGGGCCCGGCCTTCAAACGCAGGTGCTCTCGTCGTGTGACATGAACGGATTTGAGATGCACTTCCACTTTTCCAAGTATTCCAGGAGCTTTGTTCAGCTTGTGTGTTCGGGCATCTGCCTCAGCTCCCAAGTGGCCGTATCCAGGAAGCCTTGCAGCTCCGAGTTGCCCAGCTTCACCACAGCATCCAACGGACCATGTGAGTGGCCTGTGTCTGCATAGCAAAGAAGAGCGGGCTGAAACGCCTGAGTGGCCACAAACTTTGTTGCTCATGATAAAATGAAGCTGATATTACTCGCGGGATGTGTTATCTTGAATGACAACAGATGCCTGAGGCAGTGCTCTGTACTACACTACTACACAAAACAGATTTCAAGGATGGGGTCCATGTGTTGCACATTGCTGCTGCTGCTGTCTTTTTTGACATCAGCATCCGTGCCAGCAAGATGGAGCGTTGCGAGCCCATATGTTCTGGGAATGCAGCGCAGGGCATATAGGTTTGTCGAATGAGTGTGTGTGGAGTAGCACCTTGGCTTTGGCTTGGTCCATTCTATCCACTCACCGAGCGAGAACACCCAGTCTATGTCGTAGCATGGGCCATTTCTTCTGCAGAGTGTGTGGCCAGCCAACACGTCCGAGACAGAGTCGCGAAGCTGCGGTCCACCTGTCTGTCCAGCCATTGCAGCGAGTGGTGTGAGTACTTTCCAAGACCGCCTGGCGTGCCTCTTGGAACAAAGGCCTGCATGGACTGCAAACGTCGCAGTCGGCCTGCAGCTTGCCTGGCTGACAGTGGCAACACAGACGGAATGCATAATGCATCTGCAGTAGCCACATGACATCGGTGTAACGTCCCCTGAGCGAGCACACGTTTCCATAACTCCGGGGCTCAAGCAGCAGCAGCTGAAACTATAGCTTGCTAGATCTTGCTAGCACTCTCTGCCTTTTCGAAGCTGTGGGGGCCAGCCCCCAGCAGCACGGAGCCGATAGTGGTAGCGAGGAAACATCAGCAGAAGAAGGGCAACGCTCATTGTTGTGACGGCCCTGATGAGCCCTGACAATGGAATACCGGATCAGTTCGAATTCACTTGCAATAGAAGACCTACGCTGACGTGGGGACCGCTGCACCCACGACTTGACGTCCCTTTACTGGCCTATTTGGGAGTGCGTCCTCGGCCGCGTAGGCCACACCTGTTGGCTCAAACGGCTTATCTATTTAGCTGAGTCGTGCCCGCCAAGTAGCCGGCTAGCACGGCGCCTCCGGGACTCCGGGACCAGTCGACAGATCGGCCGGCATCCCTTGAGTTCCGAGCTTCTGCGCGATCATCCTCTACACAGTAGGTAGATCCGTGGTGTTGTTCTTGCTCACTTGGGAGACTGGAAGTCCTACAGTTAGGGCCCGGGACTTGGGGTGCCTGGCGTAGGTTTCTCCAGAGTTCCCCGTGCAGGATGTGCAAGCAGCGTGCGGCCGGGTGGAGTCATGCCATGGTCTGCAGGTGACCAAAGAAAATGGGCACAGCACACCTGCAAATTTCAAATTCCAAAAGGTTACTCTGCAGAAAAGCTAGAGACAAGGTTCCTGGCGAAATAGCACGGTCGTGGACTGTCCCTCTTGGTCGGTAGCGACTCTGCACGTGCTTGACCACTTCCACAAGCAGGTCGCATGCATCGCCTCGGAGAAATCCCGTGTCTAGTCAGGAAACTTCCGACAGTGAGGGTGGGCAATCGTTCCGAGGGAGCGGTGAAGGTTAGTGGTGAGATGACATCGGGTTCAGCAGTCAACGCAGAGGTGCGTTGCTCCTGGGTCCTCGGGCTCCGACAGGGACATCGAACCTCAGCATCCCCGGTGTGGATAGCAAATCTTGGAAACCCCGCAGAGTGTACAAGCAAAGTGTTCTTATGGAGTGACCGAACACATATCTGTGCAAGGAGTTATGACACACGAATGCTTCACTTGCGTCAGAGCCGCCATGCACTTTTGTGGAGTCGGCTATACGGCGCGGTGACACGTAATCTGAAAGGCTAGGAGGACGGGTGCAAGAATGGAAGGCAACTGCAGTTGCGCCTGGCATTCTTGCCGGAGCGGAAGGGAAGCCGCCCACGAGATCAGGTCGATGGACCGAGCCCGCTGCATCAGATCAGGACGAGCAGTCTTGTCTGGAGGATAAGCGGCGACAATGTGCAACGAAGTTTCGTCTGCGGTAGCTGGTCCAAACACAGCCCCGGCACCAGCTAGGCATGCCCGGTCCTGTAAGCTCATTCGTTTTCAGTTATAGTATTCTGAATTTGCAGTCCCTCGGTTTTTGATGCACCGCTCGTGACGTGCCATGTCCTCAAAGGTCAAGGAGAACTTGCCGATGCTGCGGATGCTGCCGATGGTGTCAGCGCAAATGTTGCTTGATTCTGCGGGCACTTATAAAAAATAAAATGGAGCTGGACTCTAGCTACAGTGCTTATGCACCGCAAGGAACAGGTTCTCCAGGGTCGAGCGCATTGGGTCTAGTGTTAAGTGGTTCCAACGTGCGCTTGTTGTGGTTGCACCGCCGTTTTAAACTCCCCAGCCATTCCTGCAATGCATGTGCCTGCTTAGTGAGCAAGCCCTGTCTCTTCTCCGTAAGGGTGTCGGGCCTGCAAGTAAAGTTGTGTGGGTGTTGATAGCGGCTAGCAACTTCCACTCTTCCCTCTCGGTTTGAATCTGCACCCGTCGTGCCTGTCCAGGGATGATTTGTTCATGTCGTATTTGCGATGTCTGGAGGTGCGGGTGAACTAGCGTGCGTATTCCGGCCTCTTCGGCACAGGTGCCCGAGCGAATTGTGCTCCACTCGTGTGCCGGAAATCACGATTGGCCAGACCGCCCAGGGGCATGCAGTGCTTCTTATGTTAAGCCTCTTGGGAGGTTGAAGCCATCTTCTAGCCACCGGGCTCGTTCGCCATGTTGATGTCTGTGGGGACCATGGCGGCGGTGGGCCACTTAAAGAGGAACACCCCCATACTCGGAGCAGCTTGGTCCATACCCAAACTCGCCAGCTGGGATGCGATGTTCTCGATCCTAGCCGCTAGCCAACATATGCCGCCGCCTGGTGGCGTGGTGCCTATCACCTTCAGGAGAGCTTCGGGCATTCTAGCCAAAACGACCGTCAGCCAGAGCGGCCGGCCGGGAGGCACGGCCGAAACTCCGAAATCCTGATACGGACGCAACGGAGTCATGGTTTGGGCGAGGGCACGGACGTGACAAAGCCAGGTAAAACTCCAAAATCACGACCCAACAGCGCCGGTGCAACTGGAAAGCGTTAGGCACGGGTCATGGAGTCAGGTTTTTGGTGTGTTTTGGGCCCAGAACTCTGAAATCCGTACTCTCGTCTAGAGTTGTTTTCGTTTTTGTTTTGTGGGGAGCTGCAAGGCGAGTGGTCGTTTAGAGCTTTGACCTTAGCGTCGCCCAGAACTACGCGTTTTTTGGTCAGAAGCTGTCTTCATTTCAAGTTGTACGAGTGAAAGGGCGGAGGCAAAGCATAACGTTGCGATATTATGGTCTTCCACACGTCCGCTTCATTTTTGGAGACATGCGTCTCCTGTATAAGGATGCGGGCCTATTGATGCAGTTATGGGAATTTGGGGTGAGCCGGAGACGTCTTGCTTTTGTGCGGCGCAGCCGCGACCGCATGCGTGTGAACTCCACGTGCGCAGTGTGAAAAAGCTGTGCCCAAAAAGCACAAGGAGCCTGAGCCCTTGGAACAGCAAAGGCGCATGGGTATAGTGCCGTGCAGCCCTCCCGCCCACCTCCCCTGCACCCTGCCGGAGAATTTTTTTGTGTGGCAGCCGCGACCGCAGTGAAAAGTGTGCATGGAAATCACTAGATCCGAGCGTGAGCCCTTTGTATTGTACAAATTGACATTTTCGTCCACAAGGCTTCAGCTGGAAGAATGAATCCTCGTTTGTTTCGGTGACACGCTGAAACGTAGCATGACTCCAGACCAAGCTTGTTCGAAAAGAAAGTGACCCCTAAACCGTGAAACCCTGAAGGCCTTCGTTGTTGCTGGTTTTATGCAGCAGGCATACTCTCATGCAATGTGGACCATTTCTGGGTTCACTGAGTACAGCTGCCAGATTTGGCC